TTTTCACCCTCCACCGTTATATTGGACAATGGCCTGGCTGCTATTTGTGGGGTTTTCACTGCCAATTTTTTTTTTCGGGAGGGGTAGCCCTTCTTCCTAGTCTTAGACTGGAAGCTCCGCTGAAACCTGTCCACCATGGGTGACTCCGCTGGTGTTTGAAATACCTGTGGCATAGCTTTCAGCATCACAGCAACACACAGCCACAGTATGACAACCGACAGGCAGTGGTGTGGTTCCCTGACTGGGAAAGGAAGCCCGGGAACCCGAATCTTAACCACTAGAAAAAAACTTACCTATGTACATAGTTAGCAAACATTTGTTTGGTGCTTACTGTGCCCCAGAGGCTCTTTACATATTAATCACTCAGTATTCACAATAACTTTCTGATGTATATGCTATCATTCCCATTTTACAAGTTAAGGAAAATGAGGCAGAGAGAAATTAAGTAACTTGCTCCACAGCACAAAGCTAACAGGATTTCCAAAGTCAAGCTCAGAAACCAAGCAGTTAAGCACCAAGTTGTCTTTCTATATTTACATATACATGTGTGTGTCTGTATACGGTTACACGAGAAGAGAGTAAAATATGGAAGAACGCATACTGGGAGAATGACACACGTTGGGGGAATGGGAAGGTGCTGATTTTTGGATGGCGGACGTGAAAAGAGGGAGATAAAACCGGGGGAGGGCAGAAAACAAAATAAGTATCTCCAGACCGAGGGGTCATTCCTGGACTAACCAGGTGTCGACTTGGGAGGGAATCGGTCGCCTGCGGAATTCTCGGGAAATATGGATCAACCTTGGAAACGTGTAACTGCTACGACGCCGGCTGGATGGTGAAACCATAGAGATGAGTATTCGTAGTGTCCTAGAGGGGCGTGGCGGCACGTCCGGGAAGTCGGCTGATCCCAGAGGAGGGGGATTTTCTGGGCTTCCGGGTGAGTGAGGTCTGGACTCGCGTCGGGAATAGGGATAGGGTGACGCTGGGGGTTGAGAAGCCGCGGCCTGGGCTCACCCTAGGCCGGCTCTGGGCGGAGTGTGAGAAACTACCTCACCCCCTCTTCCAATTCCGGGCTGCCGTGAGGAGGTCTGGGGTGACCCCTAACGATGGAGACCAGGCTTTGTGCCCAGATGCGACGCCCGCCGCGTCCGTCTCGGCGACTCAAAGTCAGGCTCCTCCTCTCCAGAAATTTGATAGGAGCAGAGGACTCCGTGTAATGGGGGTGACTTTTTTGGAATCTAACGGGTCCCTGACACAGAAAACGGAACTTCACTCCAATCCTTGGGGTCAGAAGTGTTTTCAAAATCAGATTTTGAGGGATTGTTTTAAAACTTTATGGTGCATATATAGTATATTGAATGAATAATACCCCAGGAGTTTGGGGCAACCTCATATTCAAACAGTAATATTTCTTTAACAAAATGTGAATATTCACTCTAAAACTATAAATAGCCTCATGTCATTTCAAGCCAAGGTTTGTTACAAAATGAATTTATGTCGCTTTGAGTATTGCCATCAAATGACTCATGAAAATATTCTTGGTTTTCAGAGCTTTGGAGGACTTCAAAATTGTGGAAAAGGCATTGTGGACCTGTTCTATTTAATGTTTTTGCTGCCTGATTTCTCTAATTATATTTGTTTATTTGTCACACAGTATAAAGCAAACAATTCCTGAACAAGTTTTGAGAAAGTCTTACAGTTAATGCCTTTTGTTAGTCATTCGTTTTCTCAACGGATAGTTATTGATGACTTAGAATGCACCAGGCACTCTTGGTACTTGGGATAGTGCCGTGTACAGAATAGATAAAGCCACTTCTCCTATGGCATTTTTGGTATTGTGGGGGTAACAAACAAAAAGCAAGTAAACATATATTGTCAGGTGGTAATGAGTGTTACAAAGAAAAATATAGTAGGGTAAGAAGGTGGATAGTAGTAGAACTATTTTATATAGGATGGGCTAGAAATGTCTCTTTGAGGAAATGATGTTTGAGCTTACTTTAATGAAATGAGAGAACGTCCCATGCTAACATCTGGGTAAGAGCATTCCAAGATGGTGTGAAGGGCCTCAGGTAGAATGCATTGAACATGTCTAAAAATAGAAAAGGGTTTAATTGGAGTAGAATGAGCACAGGAAAGATTGGTAGGAAAAAAATTAACTCTTTTCATTTCAAAAATAGTCATGTAAATTTCCATTACCAAGAATGTCAGATCTTCAATCATCTACATCACTGTTAGCAAAATTTCAAAGACCTTTTCTGTTGTGCTTAAAGTGGTATAGGCAGCCTTGAATAGTACATGTAGATTCTTTATTAACTGATGGTAATTTTTCAACTGAATACTTTCTATATTTTGTGAAGAGGCGTCTCCCTGGAGTATAGACCCATGTGCAGAGACCCCTCTCCTGAGAGAAAATGGCTACAAATCTTATCATCCAGAATGGAAAACAACAGGAGGGACCTGTGATAGTAAAAGTGGGGGAAGATCACTTTTTTGTACAAGAAATTGACTTGCAGAAGAACAGCCAGTCCAGCCAGGAGGTCTTTTGCCAACACTTTAGATGATTCTGCTACTAGGAGACACCTGGACCCAGGGAGGCTCTAAGCCAACTCTGGGAACTTTGTTATAAGTGGTTGAGACCAGAGAATCATACCAAGGAGCAGATACTGGAGCTGCTGGTGTTGGAGCAATTCCTGTCCATCCTGCCTGAGGAGCTCAAGTCTTGGGTGCAGGAGTATCACCATTGAATGGAGATGAGGCTGTGTCTTTGCTGGAGGATTTGAAGAGAGACTTGATGATTCAGGCTTTCAGGTGGGAACAGGAGTCATGTTCTGTGATGGTAAAGTACAGCATTTAATGGTTAGGTCAATAGGAAAGCAGTGAGGGCAACATTACTGAGCTTTCATCCCTATCAGGCTTCATTGCTTTTGCTAGTTCCTTTTTGTGTCTCATCTTTCCTTCTAAGCCCATTGAGTCCTTTTCCCCTGTCCTGTCTCCATGGGAGATGTTTCCTGAGGTTTTAGCTATAATTCTCGCAGCAGTTTCCTCTCAAGCCCAATGGTCCCTAATTGTCTCCAGGGCACTTCCCACACCGATGGACAGGAAGTTCTCTGGAAGGAGGTGATATCTCTGGGAGTCGCACAACAGTCACCAAGTTATCAGCTCCGGCACATGGAGACCCTGCTCAAGCATGACTCTCTGGAACCCCAATCCCTACGAGAGCGGTGAGGAGGAAGAGGAGGGATCTATCTGGGAAGGTGAGTTAGGGTAGGGGGCTCCTGCTTGGCCAAATAAAGCCATCTTTTACAACTTAATTATTAGTGTCTCTAACTCTAACTCACTCCTAAATCCTCCTTGGCTCATCTACCTCTCTCTTCACAAAGTACAACCTTTATTCTTGGCCTTTTAAGCTAAAAATTTTTCTTCTGTTTGTTTTTACATACCCAACTTTGCTTTGCATTAAAGCATTAAATTATCACATGGTTCTGTTGCTTTTTATATCACCTGTCTTTTACAGTGACCTCCAAAATGTCTTCCTTGTCCTACCTTTAAGTTTTCCCTACCCATCAGTGATAAAGTCACCATTTAAACCTTTCACTTTGACTACATTGCTCCTATCTTCTTCCACAGTGAATTATTTTCTCTTTTCATGTCAATACCTTCCCCTGTCACTCCAGCCTAGATTAGGTACACCTTTTCCTTTCCACATTCTCTCCATGTCAAATGTGCTTTCCATTTACAAAGCATCCCCCTTTTTACATCTGGATCCCCTTCAGAATCTATTTCTAGAAAATAGCAATCAAGTGGCTAGGAAAGCCAAGAAATCAGTCCTTTTCCAGTATTTCCTGTGAATTCAAGTGGAAGCTCCGTTTTTTATTATTGAGGTATAATTGACATAGCATTATATTAGTTTCGGGTGTACAACATCATGATTTGATATTTGTATATGGTGAAAACTAATCACCACAATAAGTCTAGTTAACATCCATTACAACACAGTTAACAAAATTTTTTTTCCTTGTGATGAGAACTTTTAGAACTACTATTTTTATCAATTTGCAAATATACAATACAATATTATTAACTGTAGTCACTATGCTGTACATTACATCCCCATGACTGACTTATTTTGTAGCTGAAAGTTTGTACTTTTTGACCCTCATCACCCAATTACCCACCTCCTTGCCTCTGGCAGCCACTGGAATCTTCATTTTAATGAGCTCAGTGGGACACGTAACTTTTCTCTTTCAGGTCAAATTTCACTAAAAATGTATTCTTTATTGTCTTAATAAAGGAATATTTTTCATAAAGGAATATTGACCTTGGTTTATGTAAAGGAATTATTGGTTTACACCAAATCTGCAAGCAGTGGCCTGTTTGGGGGAAGATTGAGACAAAGGGTTTTCTTTCCAAGCAATAGAATAAAGACACTTTTGCCTTCCCTCTATAATTGTATTTGAATGCAATTTAAAGTACTCTTTATACACTTAGACTTTTTCCGAATGCTTTAATGATTTGTGCCCCTTTTTAGTGGTAAAGATTGTTCTCAATCCTACCTTAGTAAATGCTATATAGGTTATTTATTCCTAGGATATGTCTATTTTACCTTTCCTTTCTAGCATTTTCTTTCCTAGCATTTTCTTTCCTTACTTGAACTAAAGAGATATTTATTGATTGTTGGGGGAACATGACTGAAAAAGAGATAAATGATCCCTTAGGAGTTTAATATTTTATCTATTCAAAAAGATAACATTTCAGGGGCGAGCCTGGTGGCACAGCAGTTAAGTTCACACATTCTGCTTTGGTGGCCCAGGGTTTGCCAGTTTGGAGCCAGGGTGTGGACCTATGCAGTGCTTATCAAGCTATACATGCCCCACACATAAAATAGAGAAAGATGGGTACACATGTTAGCTCAGGGCCAATCTTCCTCAGCAAAAATGAGGAGGATTGGCAGATGTTAGCTCAGAGCTGCTCTTCCTCAAAAAAAAAAAAAAAGGTGACATTTCTATTCAGTTTAATTTTATATGTTTAAAATTTTCCCTAATAAAAAGTTTAAAAAGAAAGTGACATTTAAATGGCCCATTTCCTATTTTAGAAAGAGAGACCAAGCATCAGATTAGGAAATTGGCTCCAAACCAGAAAGTACCCGAAGGAATGGCATCACAGAAGATGATACTCAACAGAATCTACAGAGGCAGGAACATTTTCCAGGGTACTCATTTTGGAGACCTTTGTAAATGCAAGGACAGGTTTGGAAGGCATCAAGGAAATTCAGAAGAAGGAAAAGAACACAGATGTGATCACTGTGGGAAAAGCTTCATGCACAGCATCAGTCTTATTGGACATCAGAGAATCCACACAGGGGAAAAACCCTTTCAGTGTAAAGAGTGTGGGAGAGCCTTCAGTCAAAACACAACCCTTTTTAAACACCTTATAATTCATACTGGTGAAAAACCTTATCAGTGTAATCAGTGTGGTAAAAGTTTTAGTCGAGACTCAGTCCTTATTAAACATCAGAGAAATCGCACTGGGGAGGGACCTTTTGAGTGTAATGAATGTGGTAAAACCTTCAGTAACAGCACAGATTTGCTCAGCATCAGAGATACCATACCTTAATAAAATGTTACCAGTGCAATGTCTGTGGGAAGGCTTTCAGGGAAAGTTCAAACCTCACTAAACATCAGCGAATTCATACAGGAGAGAAACCCTATGAATGTGATGAATGTGGAAAAGCCTTCAGTGGAAGTTCTGAGCTTACTAGATATCACAGAATCCACGCGGGGGAGAAGCGCTACGAATGTGACGAGTGTGGGAAGGCCTTCCGTCTGAGCTCACATCTCACTCAACACCAGAGAATCCACAGCAAAGAAAAGCCCTACATGTGTAATAAATGTGGAAGATCCTTCAAACAGAAGTCAGGTCTCTTTCAACACAAAAAATCCCACAACTAATCAAAATCACATTGCCTTAAGTATTATGGTAAAAATGTTAAGCAGCATTTGTTCCTTGCAGAATTCAGAGAAGCCACATGAGCACTCTCAGTATCTATCACCATCTCAATCTCTTCTGACACCAAAGTATCCTCAGACTAGATTCTCTCTATCTCAGAGTAAGCTAAGTCAGATTTTCTGTTTCTAGGCCTCAGGGCTGGCTAGTTAAAAATGTAAAGCTTCGGAATGGCTGGTTTCATCCTATTCACAATTAAATTTACATAAAAATGCACGCCCGAACCCAGAGTTGAAAGTACTGTAACATTTCTCAAGTGAATGGTCAAGTTTAGGCATTGCTTTTCTTCCTCACTTTTTCCTCCTTTGCTTTATATATTGGTGGTGATCAACACCTTAGTAACTTATTAGATGTTGCTTTAAAAGGGGGTTGACGTGGGGAGAGGAAGGAGAAGTAGGTTCTAGGTTCTAGTACTCACTCTACCTCTGTGTGACCTTAGGTGAGTCACCCACACATTCTAGGCCTTGGATTCCCCATCTGTGAATTATGGGATTAGAATATGTAATCTCTCGAAGGTCCCTTCCAGCTCTATAGTTAAGTGATTTTTGTGAATGCCATCAAGCCTCTATATTTAATTCCTCTGCCTGACATTCAAGAGCCACCTCCACAAATATGTCCAGTATTTCCAACGTTATTTTCCTTTACTGTCCTACAGGAGCTCTCTGCTCCTATTATACACCTCTCACTTTCCCCAGGCACCCCAAGTACACTGAAGCTTCCGTGTCTTTGTCTTCCATTCTTTCCCTTTCATGCCCTGAATGCCCTCTTTATCTTCATTGTTTCCCCAACTAAATTATATATATTTCACTGTAAGCCCACTTAGAATAAACAAGCTTTCTGAGTGCTAAACCTCCTTAGGTTGTGTAGCAGTACTCCTTAACATGTGACTTAAAAATGGGCTTGGGTAGGGCCGGCTCCGTGGCCGAGTGGTTAAGTTCACGCGCTCCACTGCGGCGGCCCAGGGTTCGGATCCTGGGCGCAGACATGGCACCGCTCGTCAGGCGACATTGAGGTGGTGTCCTACATCCCACAACTAGAAGGACCTGCAACTAAGATATACAACGGTGTACAGCGGGGGTTCGGGGAGATAAAGCAGGAAAAAAAAAAAGATTGGCAACAGTTGTTAGCCCAGGTGCCAATCTTTAAAAAAAAAAAAAAAAAAGGGCTTGGGTAAATACTATTGACCCTGTTGGGTACCTACCCTTAAGAGCCCTGGAAGGTTTTCCTTTGTGCTGTCAGTTAATTTTATAACAGTTGGGTTTACCCTCTAAAATAAGATGTTGCTCCCTAAGGAAGAGAAGGACAATCACTTTCTAGAGTACTGGAAAAAAACTAGTGCTCAAGGAGGCATTGGTTACCCTCCCTGAGAAAGGCTGTGATGCCGATCCCGCATACCCCAGACTGTAATGGGGGTCAGAGGCAGCTCCTTTGCAATGGTACTCTATAAATTCCTGATGCAACTGTGTAGTACACATCCAGGCAGGTAGGATGGTCCTAAGAGAAGTGCTCCTTGTTAGGTACCTTTATTTTATGTTAGTGCAGAGATAAATAAAATGAGGACCTAGAGAGGGCGGAGAGTGATTCAAATCAAAAGATAACCTCGAAATGTCGCTGGATTAGAAGACAGGTAGCAGAGCTTAAGGCAACGAAAGCTACTAGTGGCTAAGAGTGTATCCTAGGATGAGCAGACTATGTAAACCAGAGAAATACTCTCCCTTAGCATGATTCTTACATAAAAGTTGATTTTGTTCAGCGGCTGAGTGACACTGAGGGCACTAGCTGTCATTTCTGTGAAATCTGATATCGCTATCTGTTAAAAATAGAGCTATCATTTTGATATGATTAGCCAGTGTCCTGATAAGTGGAAAGACCTTGAACTTCCCCCAGGCTTCTAAGGGAGAGCTTAAACCTCCAAACGTGACAACCTTGAAGGATAATGCAGCTGTGGACACTTACGACTCTGCGATGATAATGTGGTATTTTGGACATAATTTACAGACTGTTTGGTGAATCACTAATGCAATGCCATTCTTGCCTATTCTTTCTTACTTTTTTTCTTCACTTTTTCTCCCTTCTCTTTTTTTCTTTCATCTCTTGGCAATCTCACTTCCCTTTTTTTCTGACCACTCACTTTACTTCTACCACCATAGATATCATTTCTTTCTAATTATCTGTCCTCCTTCCAAACTTTGACTTCTTAAATATCAGTGTTTAGGGGGAGGAAGCAGAGATAGTGGGTTCAATCAGAAATGATGAGATCACATTTAGAAAGAAAACCCAAGATAGGGAGTCAAGGTACAAGCATCCTATATCAGAATTTATGATCAGCTGCTAGTAACAAAGATCTGAAAATATACAAAGTGTGTTCCTCTCATGTAAAAGAAGGTAGATAATTTACAGTTGTTGCTTTTACTTCATGGAATCATCAGAGATCCAGGTCCCTTTCACCTTGTCATCATCCTCCACATGCAGCTTTTTTTCCCATGGCTGCTGAAGCACCAGCCATCAGTTCTGCATTCCAGTCAGCAGGAAGGCAAAAAAGGGACTTCCAGATAAGTCAGCATCTTTCATGGAGCTATCTAAGAATACATAAATTTCTTTTAATATCTAATTAGCCAAAACTTAGTCATATGACCACACTCAGCTGCAAGAGTAGCTGAGAAATGTAATCTTTATTCCAGGAGCCAATGTACGCAGATAAAAACTGGAGTTCTGTTATCTAATAAAAAGGAGAGAATACTTATTTAGTAGGCAAACAACAGTCCCAAATAAAGGCATGGCATTTTGAGTTCTAAAATGCACGTACCAACTCTTAATAAATGTGTGCTAAAAGATCAATGAACAGATGAAGAATGAGAGATAAAGGGTGCAAGAAACAAAATTAGAACTAGGAGATACAGTGGTGTCCTAGTGGATGTTAGGAGGGGCGGAACAGAGCAAGGAGAAGGAAAAGAGGAAAGTGAGGAATGAGAATTGATGAGATCCCTGAGTTGGAGGATCCTTAAACTCACCAAGCTTCCTTCAATAATAATAATATTAAAGAGCCTTGTGGAAAAAAATAGTTTAAATATATTTTAAATGGCATCAAAGGATTAAAAAAAATTCCACTTGAATCTCACTTCCCTAATTTAAAAATTATTTTTATTTCTTTCTGTTGTCTATTTAAAGAGATTGACATAGATATCTAGTTTTACATAATTTTTATTCAGTGTATTTAGAATTTTTATGCTCTGTTATATTTTCATCAGTCACCCTTACTTTTTAAAAAATACACCCCATGTTTCTATATAATCATAGTTATCACCTTATGGTTTGTATAATAATTTTAGGTCACTTTAGCCTTTAAAATATATATTTAAATCCACCTCTCTCTCTATTTGGGATACATTTCACGTAAGATAGAATAGTTGAAGAAGATTATCATACATGTGTATTTAAACATTACTAATAACTGCATTTTTGCCTAATGGTCACTGTGTTAAACTTAAAGCAAGGAAATGGCCCCGTTAAGGATTCCTTAATGGCCCCAATGCAAGGATTCCTAGGTAGCTGACCCCTCAGAGCCAAGTCAGGATTTCCTGATCAGGAAACATGGATTTGAGTCCTGGCTTTGCTGACCTCAGCAACACACTTCATTGCTCTGAACCTTGGTTTCTTCGACTGTAAAATGGCTTGAACTTTTAAAAAATCTTTCTATTGAAATATTATATACATATATGTAAAATTACACAAATCATAGGTGTACAGCTAAATGAAATTCACAAAGTGAGACCACCCACATCACCACCACCAAAGTCAATAAATATAACATTACCAGTTCCCCAGAAGACCCTACTTGTGCTCCTCCCAAACTATTCCTTTCTTCCTGTTGTGACTTCTAACAACAGATATTAGTTTTCCTGTTTGAACTTTACATAAATGGAATCATGCAGTATGTATCTTTTTGTGTCTGGCTTCTTTCACTCACTGTTATGTTTGTGAAATTTATCACCGTGGTTTGTAGCTATAGTTCATTCATTTTCATTGTTGTACAGTATTCTATTGTATGAATAAACTTCAATTTTTTATCCATCCTACTGTTAATGAACAGGTGGGTTGTTTCCAGTTTAAAGCTTTCACAAAGCTAACACACGTCTTTAGATGCAAACATATATACATGTCTGATGGCTATATAACTAGAAGTGAAACTCCTAGGTCACAGAATATGCATATGTTCAACTTTGGTAGATATACCACAGTTTCCCCAAAATGCTGTTATCAACTTACACTCTCATCAACAGTGTATGAAAATTCCCATTGCTCTATAATCCTTGCCAACATTTGGCACTGTGACTCTATTTTTAACAGGGATTTCGGCATTGAGTTTGTGGTTCCTTAAGAAATACCTAATGACCTATCATATTGGCAAAATTCAAAAGCCTGAAAACATACAGTTGGGGAGACTGTGTGAAAACAGGTACTTTCACACGTTGCTGTTGAAAGTGAAAAATGATGCAACCCTTACAAAGACATCTCTCTTTCTCCTTCCTCTCTTCTCTTTCTTCACTGTTCATTGCAGCAGTATTTGTTAAAGCAAAATACTGGAAACAATCCAAATACCCATCCCAAAGAGACTGGTTGAAAAAAATGTGGTTAATCCACACAATGAAGTACTATCCCTCTGAAAAAAAAAAAAGAATATTTCTGTGCACAGATTTAGAATAATTTTCAGGTTATTCTGTTAAGTGATAAAGCAAGGTACAAAAAAGTGTATATAATATGAAAATTTATAGAGGTAAAGGGTGGTAAATGCTTATTTTTGCAAAAGAAAGGAGGGAAGAGAGGAGGGAAGGAGAGAAGGATGGACAGGATAAATTAAAAACTAATCAAAATAGGGCATGAATATATATGAGGTACAGGAGTTAGAGATGGAAGCAAAACTCTGAATATACCTTTTTATATAATTTTGATTTTGAACTGTTTTGCATGTTCAGAAAGGAAATGAAAAGGGATGAAAGGAAAGCAAACCTTGACATTGAATACAATCACAAATGATCCTAACTGTATGTCAAGTTTAGAACATAACCATACAGAGAAAAGAATTCAAATAAAGCATGTATACAGTGGTCTGAACAGACTTCTGTAAGGGGTATAATTCAAGAACAAATAAAGTGAAGAAATTTTGAACTCTACATAGTAGGTATGTTGCTGGTGATACTGGTATTGTAATTTTGAAAGTATTTTGTTTTTCTTGTAAAGTAGAGCACATTGAGTAAATATGTTGATGCTGTTGGGAACCAGGCTTTTCACTGTGGGAGAAAGGAAAAAAACAAATGTACAGTGGTGAAGATGAAAAATAATTCTGTGGAATTGTATTGAAGATATCCTATAAAATCCTGATCATATGTATATATTCCAGGTCTTAGGTCCACTGATAGGGCCTAGAAGCAATGATACATCCCAGTAGCCAGAGCTTATCTATTGCCCAAAACGCAGATCAGTGTTTCTATATATCATTCTCCACTAAAAGGAACCATAGCTTCATGGAGCAATGCTGGATTCCAGGTATAGAGAAGAGAACGTATAAAATGAGCCAGGAATATCTTGTGTGAGAAAGTAAAGTATACAAAAACTGTTTCTTTGCAGGATATATCAACCAACAAATGTGGCTGAAGGAAAGTGCCTCAGTTTCCTCATTTGTTAAATGGGATAATTGTACCTAACAGCGCTGTCAATGCAGAGTAAATGAGTCAGAACGTGTAAAACAGTATGTTCGCTGTTATTATATTGCGGCCCCGCCCCCAAGAGAACATGCCCCTTAGCCCCTCGAGGGAGATTCAGCGAGGAGACCACAGAGGCGTAGAAACCTCCGGGCTTACTAGAAGGAACGCGGCTAGAACTGCTGCTCTCCTGGAGAGCGGCCGCTGTGACGCACTTCCGGCCTTTGTCGTTTATCAGTCTCTGGGCTGCGGTTGTCAAGGACTCAGAGGTGGTGCGATCCGGGCTGGGTGGCCTCTCCTCCCGCGGATGCCCGGTGAGCTTCGGAGTCGGGCTACCGCTGAGGGCCTCCGAAAGGGCTGGTCTGTGCCCTGCGACCCCGGCCTGGGTGTGGGGAGGAGGCAGAGGGGGCTTCTTGGCCAGAGCTTGGCTGCACAGGTGAGGGGCAGAGGACTCTGCTCCGGAACCTGGAAGGGCCTTTTAACTGAAAGTCAGCGTCCTTGCCCCACCCCCACCCGCTCTCGTCTATTCCTCAGCTCTTCAGCCACTCTGCCCTAGTACCGATGCCCCTCTGAACTCTTCCTCTCCGCATGTTAGGATAACAATAGATGCGGATATCGAGGAATGTTTGTATTTTCCGACGTCATCGTTGTCTACTGGAGACTTATTCAGAACAATGAGCAAGGATAGTTTTATAATATGCCACAGCCTCTCTCAGTCTGATTGACATAGTGTAAAGGCCCTTGCCATTTCTTTAAAAAGAATATTTAAATAGCACTTACTATGTGCCAGCCAGGTACCGTTCAAAGCACTTTCCAAATATTAACTTATTTACTTATCATAAGTCAGTGGGGTAGGCACTGTTATTATGTAACCTCTCCCCCGTCCCCCTTTTTTTTAACATCCAAGAAGAAAATGAGGTTAAGTAACTTGCCTAGGGTCATAGAGCTGGTAAGGGATGTAGTCAGGATTCAAATCCAGGCAGTCTGGCTCCAGAGTCCATTTTCTTAAATCCTTTGCTATGCTGACTCTTCTTTTTCTGTAATAGCTTTACAGCCACAACCCAGGAAGTTACTTCTTTCATTTGAATGTGGTCCTACCGCATTTGGACCTCAGTAATCCTGGGCTTCTAGTTAGGATTTAAGATTAGAGAGAAATGTACACCTGAAGACATATATGTCTGAGTGTGTCTGCAAACCTGATGAAACAGCCAGTTTGTGTGTGTAGGCATGTTTTTCCCCACCCACTCACCCATTGGTTGTGCTTTGGGCAATAGAAAAAGATTACAGTCCTGGCCTTAAGGGTAAGTAGCAGCTATTGATGAAGCCACCCCTGTACCAAAAGTTGCACATTGTCTCATTAAAATGTAGTTAATTTGCATGTGTTTTATTTGCCAGACTTTGTGCAAAACCACTTTATATGCATTATCTCATTTAATACTCTCAAAAACTTTGCAAGGTAGTTGTCCTTATTTCATACATGAGGAGATTAAGGCTCAGAAAAATCAATTAGGTAACTTGCCCAAGATCACATGTCAGTAGATCAGAATTCCCAACCAGATCTGCCTATGTTCTCTTCTACTTATCTCAGATAAATAGCAAAAATATTGGCTATGTTGTGTGTGTGTGTGGTGTGTGTGTGACTGCAGATGCATAGACAATGTCTGAAAGGATACATTCCAATCTTTAACAGTGTCTATTTCTGGAGAGTGGAACTTCGCCAAGGAATTCTATATTCTGTACTTTTTGGATTTTTTTTTAAAAGGAAAGAAGTAACTGCAAGATAGATTGTGGCTGAGAGTAAAAGGTGGGGCTCATGCTATAAGAGCTAGGAGGAGGAAGAGGGTGGACTGGAATGGATGAGGAAGACTTCAGAGAGGGTGTGAAATGAGAATCAGCTGCAGAGATTGGGTAGGCTTTGAATGAGTGCAGAAGGCAACCAAGAAAGTGGAAGAAGAATGAGGAAAGCCTGATTAAAAAATAGTGAGAAGAAAAGCTTAAGTGGAGCTGGCAGTTTTTGCATGTGAAATAGAGGAAAACAAGAGTGGGGCCAGACAATGAAAGCTAGAGGTCCGATTGGTCTTGAGCCAGGCTTGAGAGTTTGGGAATTCATCCAATAAGTAGTGGGGAGCCATAGACTGACAGCAGAGGTGAGAGTGGAGGTGTGTATTATAAAGGCACATTTGCATGGTGTGCTGCTTAGTCTTCACCTACATGTATCCTTGGCAAAGAGCATGATGGTAGATTTAGGGGTGTTGAGCTTGCTGAGACTCTGGGAGAAACCAACTTTAAAATGCAGATGTATTTCTTTAAGGTGAGAGAGATTATTATGCTAACTATATACCTGGCATATATAAATGGGGTGGAGATCCTGAATGGGAGATTAATAACTATGCGTGTGACCAGGAAAGCAGGATTATAAAATACTTGGGAAGCCTTTTAGAGACATTGGGTCCAAAGAAGAACTAAGTTATGCTGTTGTGAAGACCTGGGTATTCAGACCACCAGATAAAAGCAAAATCAGGCAAGGGAAAGCAAAAGGGAACCTAAGATATACAGAGAATAGAGAGGAATCGATGTCAGCAAAACTGGGTAAAGGTCTTAAACATCACATACCAAAAATGATTTTCTGTGGGCAGAACTGAAAGCTTCAGCTGCATTGTCTGTGAATAGAAAAGCTTTGACTTGAAACCAAGGTGGGTAGGCAGGAAATAGGAAAAAGACGTTCAAGGGCCTAGAAGGTTAAGAAAACAAGACAGCATAAGTGGCCGTTTAATCCTTTGAACTCACGCTAGGTTAACTGAGTGACATGAAAGCACATATTCTTAATTTACCTATTTGATATCTGTACCCTAAAACTTTCTCACCCTAGAACAAACTCAGCAGACCATGGTTCAACCCACCATCATTTCTCCCCTAGATTATTGCCACAGCTTCTCTCCCTCCTTCCACTTTAACCCGTGGTCTATTGTCAAGCAGCCAGTTATGACTTTATATTAAATATGAGTAAAATTTTGTTACCCCCCTCCTGAAAACCTCTGATGGCTTCCCACATCTCTTGAGTACAAGGCAGAGCCCTTATGATGGCTTTTCATGATCTGTTCCCACCCCGACTTCATCTCCTGTTACTGTCCCTTTTGCTTTCTCTCTTCCAGCTACATTATTCAACTAGCTGTTCTTGAAGGATCCAGGCATGCTCCTGCCTCCAGGAACTCAGTGTTCTCTTTGCATGGGACAGTCTTTCTCCAGATAGCCATGTGACTTGATCCTCAATTGTTCATGTTGCTGCTCAAATAACATCTTATCAACAAGGCCTTCCCTGACTACCCCACATAAAATAGAAACATGTTCTTCCCCCTTACTCCCTACCTCCGGTACTTTTATTTTTCTCTATAGCATTTATCACCATTTGACAGATATTTATTGTCTGTCTCCTATGGCTCCCTTTCTTTATCTTGTCCCCTTCTTCTGCCCACATAGAGGAGAGACAGTGGTATGGTGGTTGAGACTGTAATTCTGAAGTTAGATTTCCTGGGTTTGAATTGCAGCTTCACCACTTGCTACCTGTGAAACCCTGGGCCAATGACTTAAGTTCTTTGTGTCTCAGTTTTCTCATCTGTAATATGAGGGAAACAATAGTAGCTTACTCACAGTTTTTTTGAAAATTAAATGAACTAATGTATGTAAAGCATCTAGAACAGTGTCTGGTACATTAAAAGCACTGTAAATGGCAGTTATTATTAATATTGTTATTAGAGTATAAATTCCATGAGACTAGGGACTTTGTTTTGTTTGTAGCTTATCCCCAGTGCCTAGAATAGTACCAGGAATATGGTGGGTTCTGAATAAATAATTTGCTAAATGAATGAGTGGGGTATGAAAAGTTTTGACAGAAAAAGATAATGTGGTCACAGTGGTGGTGAGTCAGCACCAAGAAAAGTTGGAGGGAAAACATGAACTCAGGGATCCTGTCTTTTGAGTGAAAACCCTCTCCACTCTTCCTGAGGTGGTCTATGGAAGTCAACCAAGCCAAAGATGTTAGAAATTTGGTAAGAGAATTATGTTTGCAGGTCATCCAGAAGGATGCTATCCTACAGCAGTGGGGTTTTTTTTTTTTTCTCCTTGATAACTATAACCAATAATGGCAATATGAATTTAATGACTTTTCTTTTAGTTGTAGTGTGGTCAGTGTCCACTTGTAATGTAAGTACCTTATCCTTAGTTTTTAAAATTTTGCAATGCATGCCAATCCCTAGAGATAGTGTAGTTATTTTTACGGTGAATTACAATAATTTTACTGAAAATCAAAATGAAAACATTTTTAAACTATAGGTCATGACCCAGATGTAGGTCATGAAATCTATGTGGTGGGCAGTGACCGGGTTTTTTTTTTATGAAATAAGATTTAAAAAATAATAATATATATCACAGAAGGTAAGGATACATAGTGTTTTGTAGAATTATTATTTCAGTCATTTGTGTGTGAGTGTGTGTGTCTCACACGTGCACAAACATACATTCATATGCACAGGTATATGTGTTCTAAGTCACAGTATAAAATGTTTCTTACTGAGAGTCCTGGTCAAAAAAGTTTGAAAGCCTCTGCCCAGCAATGGTGCTTGGAAATCACTAAGTCACGTAATTATTTTTCTTTCAGAAAATTGCCTTCATTAATTACTATCCTGGTTAAGATTGTTCATAAGCTAAGTGGTCATAGATATTTGTGTCTTTATTAGCACTCATTTTACATACAGTTGCCCACTCTCCATGCTCGAGGAGCTTCAAAGAGAAACAATTTCCAAGAAATTAAAGGGCAAAAAAGAGCTCAAACTCTACCTGTTTAAAAATATTAGAACTAATATTTCCTTCATTTTAATATCTCTGAGCCAAGACCACTCCACTTGACTACTTTCTGATTTTTTTGCCTCAGTGTTTAGATCACTGGGATATTCATTTAATCTTTCAATAAAATTTATAAGAAAAATAACAATAGTGGTAATTTATACTACTTTACGGTTTACCAAGCTGCCAGCTTCTTTGTGCTCTTTATCCATGGTCTTATTTTATCTCTATATCAACCTAGACAGATAGGCAAGGTTGGTTCTGGCATTCCTGTTTTACAGGTTGAGTAAATTAAGGCTCAAAACGTGAAGCCCAGGGCTGCGGAGGGAGTAGCTGGAGGATCAGTCTCAACCCCAGCTCTTCCCCACTCCAAACCTGGATCTCTTTCCTCCACACTTCACCTTACTGGAGGGACTCAGCGTCTCCCCCAAGTGCATTTCTTTGGCTTCTCATTCTGTCGTTTTATCTTGCCCTCCCTCTTCCATTTTCTTTCCCTTTTGTCCTTGATGCTTAGTGTCATCTGTGACCACTTGGGCCCAAAGTGCTTGTTTACTTCCATTCAACTAAAAACTTACTATGAGTCTAGTATCTTGCCATTCAAATGGAAACCCAGTGTATTCAAGCTGATTTATTTGAGTGGATTCATTCAGGATGATCAAATGGCCCCTTCCTTCAATAAAACTGGGTGTCCAAGGGGGTTGTTTTGTTTCTGTTTTCGTTCCTATATTATCTGCATAAGTATTTGTGTGGTCCTTATCATTAATCATGCATTCATGTTCCTCATTAGACAAAGTGACTGATTTTGGTATAAATACTCCCATTGCCTGCCAGCAGAAAATATTTTCTACATTTTAATATTTTTTTCTCCGCAAATTATTTTTTAGATTTTGGGATTTCCAGAAGAAGAGATCAAGGGGGTATTATCAAGAATAGATTCTTTTTCTGAATAGTTAAGCTTAAATGGCCACAGCCTTGGCCCTTCAGACTCCAGAGATGCAAGAGGGACTTATGGCAGTGAAAGTAAAAGAGGAAGAGGGGGACCATGCCTGTGGGCAAGAAGCTGGCCTATCAAGAGATACTAACCCTCATACCAGAGAGATCTTTCGTAGACGCTTCAGGCATTTCTGCTATCAGGAGACACCTGGGCCCCGAGAGGCTCTTCGAAGACTCCAGGAGCTCTGCCGGCAGTGGCTGAGACCGGAGGTGAACAGCAAGGAGCAGATCCTGGAGCTGCTGGTGCTGGAGCAGTTCCTGACCATCCTGCCCGAGGAGCTCCAGGCCTGGGTGAGAGAGCACCGCCCAGGGAGTGGAGAGGAGGCCGTAACTGTGCTGGAGAATTTGGAGAGAGAGCTGGATGAGCCAGGAGAGCAGGTGGGAAGATGGGAGAACAGGAGTTTGTACCTGTGTGATCAAGTATGGGGTTTCAGTGCCACAAGAGGAAGAGGAGGAGAAGGATTTCTTTATGCCTGACTTGGTCTTTAGGAGGCTCCTGATCTCTCTGCCTTTTTTACTTTGCCAGCTTCTTGGTCCTTCTTTTCCTATCCAGTGGCCCTGAGAAGGCCCTTGTAATGTCTTCTCTGATATTTGGTTCCCAATTGTCCTTAATTTCCACCAGGTCCTAGCCCATGATCATGAACAGGAAGAGCTTGTGAAGGAGAAATCAACTCCAGGAGCAGCCCAGGAGTTGTCAAGTGGCCAGCTCCAAACCTCGGAAGAGCAGCGTCGGTATAACTTCCAAGAGGTGTGCCCGGTTCAGGAGATTGGTGAGGATTAGAGTTTCCTCAGGAAGCCTACATCATTCCCTGAATGTTCCTCAGTTCAACAGTTTATTTAGTGTCTGCTCTGTGCCAGGCACTGTGCTTGGTACTGGGGATACAGTGATGAGCAAGGTAGACATGGTCCCTGCCCTCAGGAAGTTTACAGTCTGGTGGGAGAGGCAGACAGTAAACAAGCAGTTACAATACAGTGCATCCTATCCCTGAGGTCGAGGCATTATTGTTTAGAGTGGGAAAGTACACAGAAAATGAGGTCACTTTTCCCCTTCCACCCATTCTCCTAGCCACTTTTTTCCTTTTATCTTTGGAAACAATATTCATGTGATCCATTTATTATTTCAGATGATGAGGCTGGAACTTGGAATGTGGAGTTAGCCCCAAAGATGGAGCTTTCTAAAGAAATTAAATCTCTTGTGGAAGTACCTGGAAAACTGAATGGTGACATCATTCAGATGCCTGAATGTGGAGAGACCTGTGACCACGAGGGCAGACTGGAAAGGCAACGGGTAAGCTCTTCAGTGGAGAGACCCTATATCTGTGGTGAATGTGGAAAAAGCTTCACCCAGAATTCCATCCTTATTGAGCACCAGAGAACGCACACAGGTGAGAAGCCCTATGAGTGTGATGAGTGTGGGCGGGCCTTCAGCCAGCGTTCAGGCCTGTTCCAGCACCAGAGACTCCACACCGGGGAAAAGCGCTACCAATGCAACGTTTGTGGTAAAGCCTTCAGCCAGAACGCTGGGCTGTTCCATCACCTCAGGATCCACACTGGGGAGAAACCTTACCAGTGCCAGCAGTGCAGTAAGAGCTTTAGTCGACGTTCTGTCCTCATTAAGCATCAGAGGATTCACACTGGAGAAAGACCTTATGAATGTGAAGAATGTGGCAAGAACTTCATTTACCACTGCAACCTCATCCAGCATCGGAAAGTCCACCCTGTGGCTGAATCCAGCTAGCTCCTTGAAACAGGTAGGGCAGAATTTCCTGACATTAGACCACTAGGCAAAGTGACAAGGGTACTGGTTCTTACTTTGTCCCTGGAAGAACAAAAATAGTTTAACCCTCTGCAGGAAGCTCCAAGGAAAGCCAGTGAACATGTCCTTATTTTTATGCTGAGAAAAGCATAATAATATCTCAAATATATCTGTCAGTTTCTCTGTGGTCAGTGACATGCATGACTTTGCAATACTGAATATTATTATGTTGATTTCATCAACATAGTCTCACACACACTGATGCAAAAAGTTTTCTAGGTGTACTTCAGGAAAACTTCATCTTAGTTTATAAAAACTTTTAAAAAAAAGTTTTAGAAAATTATATGCAGCCTGAATACTAGTGTCAAAGGTAGTTCACTGAGTAAAAATTGATTTGAAAATAACTGTAGTAAACTCTGTAGTGTAAACTACTTGACTATTTTCCATTCTCATAAGATATGATAATTTGCTTTTTAGCCTACAAAGGGGGCAGATGAATCCTCCCATAAATGTATGAAAGGCTTCTCCTTACAGAGTTTTAGTAACTCAGCCTCATGAATTTTGTGCAAAGATCAAGAAACTTAACTAAAACTCTGATATCTTGGGGCCAGCCCCATGGCATAGTGGTTAAGTCTGGCACACTCTGCTTCAGCAGCCCAAGTTGGCAGGTTTGGACCCCGGGCATGGACCTACACCACTCGTCAAACCATACTGTGGTGGCAACTCACATAGAAAATAGAGGAAGACTGGCACAGATGTTAGCTCAAGGCTATTCTTCCTCAAGCAAAAAAAGAGGAAGATTGGCAACAGATGTTAGCTCAGAGCAAATCTTCCTCACCAAAAAAAAGAAAAGAATCTGATATCTCACTTCAAATCTTTGTTATAAAAATACAGGCCTCTTTGGATTTTTCCTGTGACATATGAGCATTTTTGTTTTTTTCCTTTTTCTTTTTATTTAACCTTTTTTTATGGAAAATTTCAAACATATACAAAAGTAGAGAGAAAAGTATGATCAGTCTTCCATGTTGATTGCTTTTATAACCTCCACACTCCTCAGCACTACCTATTGATTACCACCAATGTCATACATACAAAAATTTCTTTCCCTTAACAGTGATTGAGTGAATGTTTACTAAGCTTTATACTAAGCCCAGGAGACAAGGAAATGGAAAATCGGTGGTGATGATAATCTGGATGGGAAGACCAAATACACAGTGGGTAACATAAGTAGAATAGAAACACAGTAAGAGACCTTAGAAATCACTTCTGCATGCCCTTATTTGACAGATATGGAAACAGAGGCTGTGGGAAGTCACCATGTAAGATCATACAGCTAGTTAACAGAGCTGGAACTAGAACCTCGTCTCCTCATTCCTAGTGCAATGCTGTTTCTACTAAGGCACTGGAAGCATTATATTGCCAAATAGAAATTACAAATATGTGGAACTTACAAGATTTATAAGTCATTGAGGTTTTGCTCTTTTAGCTCAACAAACCCTCCCATCTATACATTTCAATAAATGCACAGCTTCTCTATTTAATTTACAGTGGCATTCCAGTAAAGACTCCTCCCACTTATCCTCCATTTGAGGTGTTTTACTTATTTCTGTAGTACTCATTTATTTTATTTTTTTTGGTGAGGTAGATTGGCCCTGAGCTAACATCTGTTGCCAATCTTTCTTTTTTTGTGTGAGGAAGATTGTCACTGAGCTAACATCTGTGCCAATCTTCCTCTATTTTTTGTATGTGGGACACCACCACAGCATGGCTTGATGAGCAGTGAGTAGGTCCACACCCAGGATCCAAACTGGGGGAACCCAGGGCTGCCGAAGCAGTGTGTGTGAACTTAACCACTATGCCACTGGACCAGTCCCAGTACTTATTTATTTTTAACTTTTAAAATTTAATTAGAGGGACTTTTTTAAAGCAGTAATTCATTCTTCACCTGGTTTGAAAATCAAAACAACATGAAGAAGGATCCCTATCTTTCTTCTTATAGGTAGCTGTTTTACTAGTTTCTTCTGTATCTTTATTTCTTTATGTAACTACAAGAAAATATGAATATATATTCTTAGTTCCTCCATTACATGGAAAGATGGCATACTCTTTACACTCTTCTACACCGTGCTATTTTCATGAAACAGTATAGAGATTTCTACATCATAACAGAGTTTTCTCATTCTCTTTACAAGTGGATAATACTTCATTTCTTGGTGCTCCTATACATACTCCTAAAGATGAAAATCCCTATTTTAAAATGTTGTATATTCTGTTTCATTCTTCTCCCCAATTTAGTTCAAGTCAAGCTCTGTCTATTTAAAAGCTAACAACTTCTACGTGAGCTAGGAAACAGTTTGGGTAACTAGAATTGCACACAATTCTTCTATAGAGAAATGGAGAAGTGATGGGTGGTGGTTTTCAGTTTCATGTATCTGGTTCTATTATATATTCTTAAACCTAATGTTTCAAACTATTTGTGTCACTACTAGGCCTAATTATCAAAAAGCTTAAATTTCCTCAAAATTATATTTTATTGTGTCTTGAGGTTAAATTATTTCCAAGAGAAATATATATGGATTTTAGAGTAACATTAAGGAAAATATAGTAGATGTAAGTTTGAAATGAAATCAACTTCTTAAGTAAATATATATTCCATATAGTGATATCATACATATACTGTTATAATCTGAATTCATAAGCATCTTAAATGCCTCTCCATATGCTGAAGCAGCATGTTTGGGTAATTCCATTATATCAGCTCTTAAAAGATTTAAAATATAAACAGATCAGGATTTTAAAGGATGTATTTCTAATGGACTGAATTTTTACACCTGCAATTGAAGATTGGATGTTTTGTGCTTGTTTTTTTACAGCTTCTCAAAAATTCTCACTTTTCTCAACTTAGAAAACATCAAGATACAAAAGGCATTAGATACACTGTAGAGACAGATGTACCATTGGAATGCAGTGATGGTTAACATGATTAAAATGACTGACAGTTCACCAAACTAACTTTCTTGTTTTCTGATATTTATGGTGCTAATTCTCTTACCTAGGATGCACATTCCTCATTAGTTGAGAAACAACAGTTGACTTAACCTATAGGCAACGACATATAGACCTTTGCTTCTTCTGTGCTTATTCCAATCTTCCCGGCCAGAAATTCTTAGTTGTGTCTCTCTCACATTTCTAACTTTCTCTCACTTCTCTTTTCTCTTTTTCCACCCTGGCTCCTTTATTCAACCCATGAAGTCTCTAGCCTTGATCTCCTTTCAAGTGATTCCTGGACCAGGATCCATTCATGCTTAGCCCCTTGACGAATCCAATCTGAAATAGCGGAATAGTCAATGTTTTATGGCTGAGCAAGGTGTAAGAAATATTGATTCAAATCCAATTAAATAAACCTATTGGTGCTAAGGATAGTCCGGCACCCCTTTGAGCACTGTTAGGACAGTGGACACTGTACATCAAGAAATGGCAGAGTATCTTGCAACCAAAACCTGCCTAGAGCTGTAGGTAGAGCCCAGAAGATGCTCTTTCACTCTAATTTTGATTTGAAGGTCACAACTCCAGGAGAATCAAGTCTCTGTCCATATTTTGTATTTGGAAATGACTCCTATTTTCTATATTTTCTATATCTAACAATTTTTTCATTTAAAAAAATTATAATTTATAGTGGAAGATTGTTTTATATTTTTCCAATAAGACAAAAATTATCTCTGAGGTGATTTTAAAATAAAAGTGTATGTAAAGTCAAAATTATTATAAAATATGAAGTATTTTCAGTGGGGAAATTTTGAAATATAAAATATATACCAGTTATATGTGTCATTGGTTAAATGTTGAGTTAGTGATTGAGAGAAAAGTAGATTTTCTGCAGAGAGAGATGAAAGATAAAGTGTTTTAGGCAGGGGGAACAGGGTAAGGCAAGACTCATCTAAAATATGTTCAGGCCAATAAATGGTGACCAAAGAGAGGGCAAAATAAAAAGACAGAGGCAGAGACAGTGTTACAAGAAATGTGCTTCATCTTCTTAATACTTATTAGAAATCTGTCGCTCATTGGTCCGACTGTCTTAGGTACAGATGGAATAAGCAGTGAAAATAATCTTACTACTCCTTACTTCTAACTCATTTTAGTACTTTCCATAAAAAGGAAAAGAGAGAAAAGCACAGTCTATAAATCACTGTGATTTTTTTTAGGTCTCTTTGGACCCACACCTAGTTTTCCATGCCAACTGCCTCAGCTTTATGATGAAACCACTGTTTCACAATGTGTACACCTGTTAGAATCACCTGGGCTCTTTGTTTGAAGCGCAGTTTCCTGGGCCCCAGACTGACTGAATCAGTTTCTGAGGGCAGGGCCTGGGAATCTCCATTTTAGCTAACATATCACTGGTTCTTAGACATCAGGTAACTACCTAATTTATTGCCCAATCTGGGACGCTTTTGAGAATGAAAGGGAGTGCTATTAATAATTACACCCAGCCAACAGGTATAAATCAGGATGTATGGTCTCCCTACTCATGACTCTTCCAGCTGAGGAGATAGAAAATGAGACAGAGAATCAGAAAGAATACAGTGTCCTCTCATGAAAGCTGAGGCAGAACATACATGAAGGAGACTGTTGGAGATTTAGGTGTAGCCATCTACACTAAGGTAGCCACCACCTTCCTGGTCTGAAATAATCCCCTTTAACAGATCTATTGGATTAGGTAAGAAAGGGTGGGACAGTATGTCTACAAAAACCAAAACAAAGAGACGACACTCCTCCCCCCAAAAACCTCACTGTTAAAATAGCTATTTTCCTAAGATGAACCTATTGAGAGAATGGTTTGTCAGACAAGATTGAGAACATCTTGGAAGCACAGCAGCATTTCAGTAGCATCAGGACTGACAGAGCCGTATGGGGTGTTGGACCTTAAATTGTACAGGAAAAGTGGGAAGAAAGGGCACTGGGTCAGAAGCTTGCAGGGACAAAGCAGAGGGTCAGCCATTTTAAGCAAGTAGCTAGGATGAATGGGGGCCAGACCTTGTGCCGAACAGTTTCATAAATTACCACATTTAAGCCACATAATTCATTGGCTGTAGAGCCATAGCCCTCTTCCGACCACAAGGTACTAAAGACAAACTGCTACAACTGACCCTGCCCCCATATTCCGCCTTTGCCTCAAGATCATTCACAGAGGGGGACAGGGTGAGTGTGTGCAGGGGGGTGGGGGGGGTGGGGGGGGGTGGGGAGTGAGGGGAGTGACTTCCCATCACCACCACTGCAATCTCAGCTTTCTGCTAATTCAGCACAGTTAGGGATCTATATACCCAAAACTTGCTAGTCGTTAGGTTACTCAGAGGGACCTGAGTTGTTTAAACAAAGATTTAAAACAGTAGAGAGCAAGCCAACATGTGCCCCTCTTGTTGCCGTTCTCCTCAGCTGGGTGTTGATTGCGGCTCCTTACCCTGGGGGCAGAGTGAAGGTAACTGGACAGAAGGTACCTTACGAGACCCTGCGGCAGAGGGGCGCTGAGGGCGGAGCCCTCGCAGGACCGGGGTCCTAGGGAACGTAGGGCTCCGCAAGATCCACTGTGGCCAGCTGTCTTCAGCGGGATAGAGAGATGTTAGCTCTGACTGAGGGGCTGCTGGACAGCAGAGGTTACAAGCGGCAGTGGATCGCGCTGCCGGAGCTGTTTGGAGGAAGCCTCTGAGCGCGCAACGCCGGTCACGTGGTGGGCGCAGACCAGCCACTGAGATGACGGGTTCTCCAACCGTTCCTAGAGAGGCAGCTATTGAAGCCGGCCGAGACGCGTTTGAGCGTTGTGATGTACTTCCGGTCTCTGGGGTGAGCTACTGCCCAAGTACTGTCTTCTTACATTCCCTCTTTCACACCCTCACACTCTGAGTGGGTGTGGGTGGGAACCTGGGTCCCTTTTCTTTGGCAGGATGCTCTATAGCTCAGCAGAAATGTCAGGATCTAGAGGAGGGAGTGCTGCCCCTTTTCACAGGCCTGCCTCGGATTCCTCTCCCTTGGTAGATCATTCAGGATTTGACTCCCTTTTCCGTGTCGGTGCTGCTGGACTTTTTGGAGATGCAGGGGACAGAACACAAGTGTACAGAGCTGGGTCTGTGCTGACCAAACGCTTCTCAGGTGGGGACACAGATGTACCAGTGGGGAGACCCCTCCGGGGTCCATCGGCTGACGGATCCTTATGCTAAAAGATGGTTTCTTATACCTTTCCTGAGTTCTACGGTCGTTTTACCTGAGCAGTTTTTCGGTTTTCGTTGAAGTCCCCAATAGTAGTGGCCGTGATATTGCATACTAGTACTGTAAAGGCTTAGCACTTTTAAAAAGTACTTTACCATAACATGATCCTCACATTTTTGCAAAACAAAGTGAAGTGCTACGTGAATTTCTATGGCTAAGAAAATAGATTCAGAAGTTAGCACTTTCAGAAAGCAAACATTTATTGAGTGCCACATATGTGCCAGGCTCTGTGTCATAAAAAGGGGAATAAGCCAGATAAAAGAGGCACTCCCTACCTTAGAGTGTAATGAGGACGATACACAATGACAATATAGTGTGATAAGTGCCTTGAGGAAAATAAACTTCATAATAGGAGGGCCTTTGGAGGTGGGGAGTGGAAAGTTAAAGATAACCTCCCTGACTATGCAGTAGCAGAGCTGCCTCTGTCAACTGATAGAAATTGGATAGCAAAGAGGAAATAGTCCTTGGGGTGTAAGATATAGTATGTGACAGATCAGAAAACCGTTTCAGAAAACTACAAGTAGATGGAGGTGGGTGTGGTAGAGCTAGAGCAAAGAGAAAAAGTAGATAGTAACAGAGATATGCTAAGGAATTTCGACTTTATAGGGTGGTGTGCTTCCCCATCTTTTTAATGTAATGGCTCATAGACAAAATGTTTGTATGCACACTGCCTTGCAGAAGAGACCAGGCCAAGGGCTTCAGCTATCCCAGATCTGCCTGGCCACTTCAGGAGCTTGGGATATCAATATGCTGGCACTTCTGTAAGCCATTTGAGGCATCCGGTGAATTGTGACATAGCACAGAAGATGAGAAGGTATACCCCACAGAGTGAGGAGTCTCTGTCTGGATTTAAGCAGAGGAGTAACATAATCTTACTAGCCTTCTAGAAATATTCTGGAAGCAGTGTGATGAATGAATTGAAAGGGGGCAAGACTGGAAGCAAGAGAGATAAGAGACTTGCATTTGTCAAAGAAAGAACCAATACTATAAGTTGATGAAAGTAAGGCAGTGGCTATGGAAATGAAGAGGGGATGGAATGGAACTATGCTAAAGAGGTAGATTTAACCAGACTTGATGACTAATTAGGTGGATGAAAAGGAGAAAGATATTTTTTTAAAAAAGCGCTGAGTGCACTGCCTGGCACATACTAAGTACTACATAAGGGTTTTTTTTTTTTTTTTTAATAAATGTAGTCAGGAATAATTAGACATGTTTTTGGATTGGATGATTAGATGAATGTGGTACCATTTTAAAAGAAATGGGTAATATTGGAAGAGGTATTGCTTATGAGGGGAAAATGATGAGTTAATTTTCAGTAGTATTGAGTTGAAGATGCTCATATAAACTCATATAAGTGTCATAAAACATATAAGTGGAAGGGTCTAATACACCATTGGATTATAATGGTTTGGAGCTCCAAAGCAAGATTGAGATAAGAGATAAACAAGATTGGGATCAGATTTAGGAGTTCTCGGGTGACAGCTGATGCTACAGAATTAATGAGATTGCCCAGAATCAATGTGGAATGAGAAGGCGGCTGGATCTCAACTTAGGGTAACCAGACGTTTCTTGGTAGGCAGAAGAAGCACTGTAAAGTAGATGTAAGAAGGAGCCATTAGAGACGTATATCTATTTAACAAGCACTTATATAATGCTTCCAGAGCGCCAAAAATTGGTCTAAGCACTTTTCAAAAACTGACTCATGGAAGAACAGCCAGAAGAGTGTAATGTTCCTTAGAAAATTGGGAGTGGTTAGCAGTGTTAGGTGCTGCAGGGTCATCTGGTAAGAAAAGGACTTGGTTAGTGACTTGGGATGCATGACTCAAATGTGGGACTCCCTGACTGACATGCACGTTATTCTTTTCTAACACTAAAAGTACCTTTGAAAGCATCTAGCGCAAGTCTTGGCACAGAGAAGTTGATTTATAAATGTTAATTGACTCAGTCTTTGACTTGCAATATAAGCAGGCAAAGCTGTTTCCGTTGTTTTTCTTCATTATCTGAATATTTCTCATTATCTGAGTATTTCACTGAGGTTTCTAGATCTAAAAGCTAATAGTCTTGTAAAACTTTAATCCTGAAGTAACTGAATTATCATTTAGTTGATTTTATGCCATTATTCTTATTGCCATTTTTTGCTTGTTTTACCTTTTACAGAGTTTCTTTGCCTGCAGATCATTGCTTTGATCACGACCATTCACTCTGAGTAAATATGTTCTTAGTTTGGAGTTGATGTCTGTTAACAATGATGTGTTATGCCTCGGCGCCAGCATGAAGCACTCCTACTACTGCAATAAGCCAGGTTTCTGAGCTGTTTCACCCAGGAATGAATTCAGTTCAGCCCTTTTGGGCTGCAGAAGAACAGAAGGAATGTCAAATAGTTAAAATTTAGCCTGCACAGAACTGGAGCTTCTGGCCAGGAGTTCTTCAGACAAAGCTAGGAGGATTCTTTTGAGCTTCCAGAGTCCAGCTCCAGGCTCTTTGCCATCACTGGCTGAGACCAGAGATAGACAGCAAGGAACAAACACATCTTGGAACTGCTGGTACCAGAGCAGTTCCTGACCATCCTGCCCAGAGCTCCAGGCTTGAGTGCAGGAGCAGCCCAGAGTCTAGGGAGGAGGCTGTTACTGTACTGGAGGTGCTTGGAGAGGAAGCTGGCTAATCCAGGAGGAAAGGTGAGATAAGGAAGAAATGATCTATTATCAGAAAGCAGGCATTTTCTCCAGAGAGAGATAACAGAGTTGAGATCTTCTCTCAAATACAGCGAGAAAAATGGCTAATGCACATTGTAGAGTTATGTTCCCTGTGTATTATCCTCTCTGTCCTTTTATGCCCTGCCCTTGCGGATTAAGGGAAACTGCTTTCTGTCCTCCCATCCTGTGTTCCATATTAATATTGGGATCTTAAGCTCTAGAACCCTCAGCAGATATCACCCTGGTTAAACTGTGTCTAATTGTCCCCAGGTCCTAGCCCTCCTACAGGGTTAGGAAGTACCCTAAGGGCCAATAGTTTATCTGGCAGCAGCAGAGAACTCACCTGGGGTCTAGCTCCAGCCAGTAAAGGGTCAGCTCAACTCTGAAGCTTGGGAGCTGCACCCTATTCAGGAGAAAAGTGAGGAGGAGATTGTCCTGGGCAAAAGATAGCAAATGCAGGTGGCTTTTTGCATTTTCCAAATGAACCTCATCATGAAAATCTTTGCTTATCTTTCAATTGACCTCTAAAGCCTGTTCCACAGCATATCATTTTAACCTCAGTTATGATTCTTTTCTTCCTTCACTTTTTTGAATTAAAATTATTGAAAAATCCTGCTATTTCATATCACATAGTTCAGTTTCTCTATTCTAGCCTGATGCCGCCAGCTTCTCTGACCTGGACCTCTTAGTCTAAAGGCAGGAGAACATTTTTCTGCATTGAAGCCAACAGAAAACTACTCAGGGCTACATGCAATGGAGAAATGTTAGAATGTACATTTTTTTAAATGAGTGTAGGAAACAAAACTTTATTTAGTAAGTGCATGCTTATTGGAAAAGCACACATCCATACCCAAATATAATTATACTGTATATATCAACTACCACTATTTTTATGTTTAATATTACATTATGGACATCTTTCCAAGAGTGTTACATGGAATATATACATATGGCTGACATATATTTCACTGTATGGGTATCAAATTATTTTTAAACTAACCCTAGAGGTTTTTTAATTGATGTGTCCGCACCCAGGATCTGAACCGGCGAAAGCCTGGGCAGGAAGCAGAGCATGTGAACCCAACCACTCGGCCACGGGGCTGGCCCCTTTTGTTTGTTTTTTTCAATACTGCCAACTAAAAGCCATAAATCCTTTTATCTTTTTTCTATATAAGCCTATATAAAAGTAGATTTGTATAGTGAATCTCCATGAATCGCCTAGTTTCAACATTATCAAATGATGGCCAGTCTTTTCTCATTTATAGCCCTACTCACTTCCCATGTTATTTTTTACATATAATTTTGAAGTACATCTCATACCATATTCTTTCAAATGTAAATATTTCATTATGTACTCTAAAAGATGACTTCTTGAAGGCATAACTAAAAGACATGAACTTTTTAACATAACCATAATGCTGTTACCATGCCTAAAAAAATTAACAATTTCTTAATATCAAATTTCCACTCGTCTCAAAGATGTCATAAACTTTTTAATTTGTTTTCTTTTTCAGCTCATTTGAGTCAAGATCCCAAGAAGAAAATGCGTTGTGATTGGTTGATATGTCTCTTAGGTTTATTTTAATAAATGGGTCCCCCTTCCTTCTTTTCTCCCCCTTGCAACTCACTTATTAAAGAAATTAAGTTGTTTGTCCTATATAGTTTCCCACAATCTGGGTTTTGCTGCTTGCGTCTTGTGCTGTAGTTTAACATGTTCTGTTGTCCTCTCTGTTTTCTATAAATTGTAGCAAATCTACAGGCTTGACCAAAATCAAATTTAAGGTTTTGGGGCAAGACAAGTTTAACTTGGCAAGCTGGTGTTCTGTCTGGAGCCTATAATGTCTGATTGTTTCTTTTTCTGTGATGTTATCAGCTTTTGATCCTCAATACCTACATCTAGTAATTCATTAGAGGATCCCAAAGTGATGATATTCTTATTCTGTCATTCTTTCTTCACTTAATAAAGCTGGAATATTTATATAAAGAGATGCTTCCCCTGATTTCTTGCTTGGTTACTCAATGGTTTGTATATGAAAGGCAAGATAATTGCTTAACTCCCTCCCACCTTTTTTTTTGTTTCTCAGTTTCAAAACAATTAGTTTGCTATCTCCTCTAAAACAGTGGGCAGTTATTATTAGTAATAGTATCATTAAGAACTCATGGATTTAAACATATTTGATATTTTTCAATCCACAGTACTAATAGCCTTTTGAAACTCATTTGTCTCATCTGTGGGCAGTAGGAGCCTCTTCAGTTTGACTCCCACATTTATGACATGAGCCTAGTCAGCTTTGGTAGCTTTCTTGCTGTCTGCTGGGACAAGATGTACCAGGCCCGTCTTATAATTTTCCTTGCCCAGTCCTAGTAATTTTTCCAAGGACCCTTGATTCTGTTTAGTGGGAAATGGTATTTCAAGATCCAAAATAGGGTGCTACGGTTGCTCGCTGCTTAGTTTGACATTGTTCCCTTTCAGTGCTCAGAGCTAGAAAAATATTTAAGATAAAATTTGTATTGTGGGTTCACATCACTAGTTCCACGTTAAATTCAGGACTTCAGGGTCTTAATCTATCTTTTCATCTGTATCTCCTTTTGAAGAATTCTCGAAGACACTAGGAATGATAGAATATCAAATACTCATTTGCTTTATCCTACAGCATATACGCAATAGCCTCAGAATAAAAATATCAGCATTATCATCAACAAATATGATTTCTGTCAACCGCCAATAGTGGTGTGTGTGTGTTTCCCATTTCCTTTGTCCTTAAGGTATATCTCATTGGGGATATACAAAAAAATTACTCTTTTAAGGACATTTTTAATAATTCCTCTTTTGTGTGATTATGCCACCAACAGGTACACGTTTAAGTTCAGTTTGTTTCGTTTCTTCACTATTTAGAGAATCCTTTTTCTTTTCTTTAATTATTTAAAATGCTTCCTTTTCTTATGTAAAATATAAAATTTTAAATGCAAAACCTACAAAGTAAGATATTTTCAAAGTTGTATTCCTCTTCCCTCGTTCTATTCCTTCCCTTCCCCATAGGCAACCTTTTGTTCTTTACTTTTATGGGTTATCCTTTTATTATTTGTTCTTTTAATATAAGCATATGTATATATGCACGCACACCCTCCCTTTTTAAAATGATGGCATACTATACAAGTCATAAACTTAATGCACATCTGTCTTATGTGAAACATTTTCTTCTGTTATCTTTCTGCAGCATGTAATCCCAATAATTGCTTATTTAATGAGCAAATAATTGAGTAAGGTATGTGTGAATGAGTGAATTAATTATGGTGAAATTGTTACTCTCTTCCAGATGATTTGATCAAAATGGAGACTGAGAAGTTGCTTCCAAAGTAGAAGAAATCTGAGGAAATAATGTGCCAGGGCCGGCCCCATGGCTTAGTGGTTAAGTTCGCATGCTCTGCTTCGGTGGCCCAGAGTTTTGCCCATTTGGATCCTGGGTGCGGACCTAGCATTGCTCATCAAGCCATGCTGAGGCAGCGTGCCACATAGCAGAGCCAGAAGGACCAACAACTAGAATATACAACTATGTACTGGGGTGCTTTGGGGAGAAGAAAAAAAAAGATTGGCAACAGATGTTAGCTCAGGTGCCAATCTTTAAAAAAAAAACAAAAACAAAAAAAGAACATGCCAACAGGGAAACACTGTCAGATTTGATGACAGTGCTTATTAGAACTTTGATTCTGTAGAAGTTGAAAAGTATCAGAGAAGACTAGAAAGCTATCCAAAAATTACCACAAGGATAGTATCAGTGTAAGGGATGTTGAATGAATTTCACTCAGAACTCTGTCCTTATTCAGCATCGGAGATCCAGACTGGTGAGAAACCCTATGAAAGTGATAAGTGTGGAAAAGCTTTTACTCAAGAGTGCAAGCTTCAGTGAAAATAGGAGAATTTTCTGGAGTTAGACCCACAAAGTGAAGAATATGGGAAAACTTTCAGTGCGAACAGCAGACTGGTTCATCATAAGAGAATCCGTACAGAAAGAGACATTATAATAAATGTAACAAGCGTGGGAAAGCCTTGGTCAGTGGTTACCTCTTAACCAGCAGCAGAGACTTCACACCCGAGAGAAATGTTACCAAGTATAACACATGTGGTAAAGCTTACAGTCAGACCAAAGAGCTTTTCTATCGTATCAGAATCCACAGTGGAGAGAAAATCTTAAGTGTAATCAGTATAGTGAAAGTTTTCATGGAAATTCTTTCCTTATTAAACACCAGAGAACTCACTCAAGAGAGAACTTAAGAAGTTGATAAATATGGATGGAAAAAGACTTTGAACAATAGCACCTCATCTGACACTAAAAACTCATGGGTGTCCAGCATCAGAAATTGGTAAGACAGAATTTCTTCATGCTAGACCTCTGGGTGGTCTTTGATGAAAACTGGCTCTTCAAAATGTATCCCCCAAATCCTGTCACATTCAAAAGAGCAAGCCATTTACTTTTTCCCTAACAATCTGATCAAATAAGCTACATTATTTTAGTGATTTGAAGGTTGCCTATGGAACACCAGTTCAGATTTCTAGATGTTTTACTAGTTGTTCCAAAATATAATTCTTACAAAAGCTTGAACCATTTAATAGTATTCTTTTAGTTGAAAACCTAAGTTGTTTATAAAATATACAAGTAGGAATATTAGATGCTTAATATATTTTAAATGTTTCCACAGTGATGATGATTTATCAAGTCAAAAAAACTTTTTCAGCATCTTTTTAGTGACAGCACAGTGAATCTTTGGGCCTTCCATTCCTACATCAGTTCTAATGTATAACATGTAGCTCATAGCCAAGACTCCAAACAAGAAAGATGCATCTTTTTATTAATAGAGGTTGGTTAATTTGTGTTTGTAAAACATTAGAGATACCCAAGCTAGTCTTCAGAGGAGGAGAATAAGCAAACCCAAATACCTAGGGGCGAGGCAGGTAATGTAAATAAATGAAGCAATCCTAGAGTCAAAAATAAGGGAAAACAGGCCAGCCTGGTGGCGCAGTGGTTAAGTTCACATGTTCTGCTTCAGAGGCCTGGGGTTCGCTGGCCCGGATCCCGGGTGCGGACCTACACACTGCTTGTCAAGCCATGCTGTGTCAGACATCCCACATATAAAGTAGAGGAAGATGGGCACGCTTGTTAGCTCAGGGCCAGTCTTCCTCAGCAAAAAGAGGAGGATTGGTGGCAGATGTTAGTTCAGGGTTAATCTTGCTGAAAAAGAAAAAAAAAGGGAAAACAAAAACCATCTTTTTTATTGCATTAAGGTTTCAGGAAAATTGCCAGGATCCTCTTCATTGAGTTCCATTGCAGGAGGAAGATGATCAGGTTAGTTGTGCATTTTAACCACCATAAACAATGATCTCTACTGCCAGTCGTCCTCTTTTTTCTGAGGAAGCCTGGCCCTGAGCTAACATCATGTCCATCTTCCTCTACTTTATATATGGGATGCCTACCAAAGCATGGTGTGCCAAGTGGTGCCATGTCCGCACCCGGGATCAGAACCGGCGAACCCCGGGAGGCTGAGAAGCAGAATCTGCGAACTTAACTGCTGTGCCACCGGGCTGGCCCTGATCTTTTCGTACTTTTGAGTATAGTATATTTTAAGGAAAAGCTTCGTAAGCTTTACTGCTGAACCACTTCAGTCGTCAACTGATAGGTTTGAACCATCATTAATTTTCATACTAGTCGCTAAGGTATGACTTATGTAATCATACAATCAATGTTTCACAACTTGAAACAAATTGTAGCACAAGGGATCTTTAAAACAGATTTCACTACTATTGGCAATGTTATCTTTTTTGGTGTCAGGAGCTTTAAGAATGGGAATCACAATGTAAGTAAGAAATGTATTGGCTATGAGACTAATTTTCCCTTAACCTAACAAATGAAGGCGAGGAGCATATTTCTGATTAAAAGCAAGTCTCCCTTCTTAAAGGAGAAACTCATATTTCTAATTTTAGATATTCTTCCTAAGGGGTTAAGGTCTATCTCCAGATCTTCGGATCCACCTGATTATTAAATGTGGAACATATGCCCAGTGTTGCCACATCTTCCAAATCTTATATGAACTCTCTTTAGTCTTTAGTCCTTTTTTTTACTTTAGGACAACTTGACTTGCCCATGGGCTATCAATTTATCACCTCTACTTGTAAAAATGTATCTTTTATCCAAAAGACTGTTGTAATTATTAATAGTGATCTTGGGGGTAGAGATGAGGGCCATGGTACTTGTGTATGCCCATGGGCTCTTAGTGCCTCTGGGCTCAGAGATTACCGACTGCTGATACAGGCTGCTCAACAGAGTTGTTAAAATGACTAGTTTACCAGGCTATCTCTACCTCAGTGCCTCCTCCCAGCAGAGATCTGCCTGCTCGTAGGGAGCCACTTTCCCTTACTGCAAGAATGAAGGAGTTAGCCGCCCTGGTGTAAAGACCACTTTAACAAAGCACTAAGCTTCTCATGCTCTGTCTTTCTGTCCCATAAGCATATAAGCCTGGGGCTATAATGGGGACCTAAAAAATATTTTCCTCTTCACTAAGGTCAACTCAGGCCAGTGAAGTGTTTGAAATGCCTGCCGAGACCAAGACATAATATAGGGTAACAAGACTTATCATTGGTCTGCACTACTAAGTGCTTTATATGCATTTCACTTAATCTTTACAGTGAGTCTGTGAGGTAGGTCAGTCATTCCATGTTACATATGAGAAAACGAGAGGTTAAATGACCCGTACAGCAAGTGGTGAACTGCAATTCACTCTGTGACTTGAAGCCTGCACTCTTGTTTCTAGTTCTCCAGCTCAGGTTTAGAAGGAGGCAAGCAAGTTATCTAATAATAACAGCCAGAATTCATTGTATGGCCAATTTTTTTAAATTTATTTTTTAGCTAAACAATGTTACAGTTAACAAAGTTAGGTTAGAGGGGCAGGCAGGACCAGAACAGGAAGGCCCTTCAAAGCCAGGGCAAG